TTTCCTCTTAGTATCTTAAACTAAATAATAATTGGGTCTTCTTCTGGACTTTGGAGGGGAAAAGTGAAAACAGTTTTTGCTTCTGAAAGTAAGTGGAACAAAAAGACTAGCTTTTTATTGTTTCTCTTTTAAATTTTATTCTGTGTGCTTTGAATTACCACTCAAAAACATCAATAATGCTTCTAAGTTCTGCTTTCTAGACATGTGATAGAATTATCAAGTATTTCAGCTATTTGACAATTACATCATAACCCCTATTATGTACCTGAATTGCTAAAAATCATTTAAATCTAGTTTAAAATGAGGAATTATGATTTACTCTATTTAAAATGAACTATGTATTTAAAATAGACAGTGAAAGTGCTTCAATTATGTCTTGAACTAGATTTTTCTCTGCAACTTAACAGAGTCAAACACAGAATAATTTTTTTATCATGAAAGGTAAAAAGTTCTTCTAAATCCTTAATTGTTTTAGATGGGGCTACTATCTCAATTTAAAAGAAACTTAGACAATGTCAATTCCTTACTATGTGTGTTTCCTAGTTCCAGTCATCAAAGACATATTTGCTTTCCTCAGTGATAGTTAGCCAATAACCATCCTTTCTCAATATCAATAATAAATACTTAACTCAAAATCTAATATTTCTGTTCTATTTCATTCTTGCTGAATTTTCAGTGTCATTTTGTTATATTTAAGTTTCACTGTCAGATGCCAAACTTGACCTCTGTTAACACCACAACCAGACAGCCTGAGAGAGAAGAGGCAGCCCATGGGGAAAAACAACACCTCCAAAAACCAAAATATGTTTCTTCTTTTAAGTCAGTCTTATTAAGATTCTTTTCCTACCATTTTTCTAAATTACTATCAAAGGTAGGCTTATTTAGAAGTTTCAGTCTTTATCCAAATAAAAATATTTTCAAGCCATTGAATATACTTTCCCATTAGAAATGGGAAGGTGACCTAGTATTCAGTCTCACTTGCAGACTCATTAATAATTACATGATTAGATGCTATCTCTGTACTCTGTAACTCTGCCCTCCATACCTGGCTCTCCAAGGTATCTTCCCACTGTGTTGATTTGCAAATAAATGAACTCTTTAACATGCAGAAGATGTACATTCCACATATCTCCTAGGACAACTACAGTGAAGATATAGAAGAAAAAGCATTTTTTTTTCAATTTAATCTAATTACCATTAACTTTTAAAGTCCTTTGCATTTGATCATCATACTACTATCATACCCATGCAATAGGAAACATATAGTGACTTGCCAAACATCTCATTGCTGGTGGTAGAAATAGGTCACCTAAGAGAATGTCCTCCGCCCTGAATATGCTGCCTCCTAGCATGATTAAAATCAATACCCAAGGTCTAATTGTCCTTGCAGAACATAGGAAGGAAGCACTCCACAGCACGAATACTAGTGATATAATGTATAAAAAACGAAACCATCATATTCAGTAGTTAAAAAAATAACTATCTTCTATCCAGAACAATCTCAAGTATACCAAGAGACTAGATTATAAAAGTTTCTGGGCAGAGAGGTACTTGTTCCTTTTCTCTCATTGCCCTTGGAGCCTTACTTAAACAGTGAAGCACTAATCAAACAGCCACTTGCTAGAAGCTCAACTATGTGAGGCACAGTCCAGTAACAGAAAGGCACCACTTAAAAGCTGGACACTTCTGATCCTCAGATGAAGTTACTCTTTCTATTTAAACCCACAGTTCTCGACTTTATCAGTCTCAGTGTATCCCCCTTTCCATAAAATATTTTCCAACTTCTGCTTTACCAGCATGAAATTAAATGAATAACAATCTTCCTATAGACAATTTCAAACAAATTCATATTCCTTAAATAAAACAAAAAAGGAAAGGAAAATAACATATAAGATAGCATTTATTTCAATATGTGAATGCGGGGCAAAATTAGTCATCAGTAGGTGAATATGATAGCTCTGCATGCAAAGCTGTTTGTGTTGCGATTTTCCAAAACATTTACAACTCTTGGCCAAGTTCTCAACAAACAAATCTTTAATTTACACAACAATTAGCTGTGGAAATAGAAAAATTCAGTCTGTTAAAACCACGACCTTATATGTAAAATGGAAGTTCAACGCTCAGATAATTACAAATATTCCATGAATTCCAGGCAAGATATGCCTAACTCATAAGGATATGAGGCACTGCAATGTTCCACACGTTGCAAAACATAGCATCCCTGGTCTTCATCCACCAAACGCTAGTGGTTAGTTTCAATCATTACAATCACCAAACAAATTTTTCCTTATTTCCCCCTAGAGAGGGAACCCACCTGTCTTAGACACAATTCAGCTATCTATCGGAGTATGATGTAGATTCTTAAGAAATCTGGGGCGGGCGGGGTGTCGAGGCTCAGTGGTAGGGCACTCGCCTAGCACATGTGAGTCCCTGGGTTTGATCCTCAGAACCACATAAAAATAAATATAAAGATATTGTGTCCATTTGCAACTAAAAAATATTAAAAAAAGAAAAGAAAAAAGAAACACAAATTAGAGTTCCAGGACTGTCATCTTTGAATTACATGATCACAGACCGTGAGTTAATTTCTCTAACCCTCCATATCCATATTATCGAAGAAGAATAAATACTACCTGCCTTTAAATTATCAGTATGACTCAACAATATGTGTGTAGCACATGATAGGTGGTTTTCAACCCACAGCCTGAAACACGAAAAAGAGAACTATTTCAGGTAAATAGAGTAAAAGCAGCAAAAAGTAATATGAATTTTCAAAAGACAAAAGTTACAAATAAGCATACAAAATGAAATTTAACAAAGAGCCTTCCAGGGACATCTCAGAAAGCAGCTAGCAGTATACCTATCTCAACAATCCCTGAAAGGGGTTGAAATAATTAATCTTCAGAATGATGATTCCCCCCAAATAAGAAAGATAGACATACATTTTTAATAAATTTCCACTAAACATGGCCAAAATCTTACAAGTTTGATACTTAACAGAGTGACTACATCTTTATTGGGCCTCTACCCCATTCTAGGCTAGGTACTAGGAAAACACAAAAATATCTAATACATCATCTCTGTCCTCAAACTTTTCATCATTCAATAGGTTAGACATGAGTGTAAACAGAATGATGTAGCTACAGAAATTCAAGTAATAAATCATGGAGCCAGAGAAAACTACAAATATAATTATAACTGACAAAAAACAGAACATCCTCATGGCATTCTGACAGGTAGAGAATGGGCATAACGTATTAGAAGAAAAATGAATTCAGGCAAAGGCACTGAGCAGGAAAATACAGTTCTGAGAAGTAAGGTGAGGAATTTAGGGTACATTTGGGGTTAGGGATGACAGCAGTAAAAATTAAAGCTGTAAAGATACTCAGGATTTGCTCATGAAGGGATCTGAATGACATTCAAAGGCATTTGAGTTTTCAGTGTGCAAGAGAGTTCTCCAGAAAGCTAGTGCTTACATGGCACACCTGAATCCCCCCAAAATGCTGAGTAATGGCCAAAACTAAAAGATTCAGAACAAATACAGATTATGAGATTCCTAAAATAAATATATATTCTTAATACCAATAAGCAAAAAGAACCAAAGCCTAAAGCAGAAAGCAGTTTGTGAGCTCATTTCTTATGTAATCAAAGTATTAATTTACTGACCCTGGGAACTGAAAAGACTCACATGTGTCCTGTGATTTTATTCCAAGCAAGTTGAAGCACTTCCTACACATGTTAGTTAGCAGTGCCTCATTTCAACCCGGAAAGGCAAGAACAAGTAGGCTACAGTATTATTAGCCTCTTTTTATTATGGGGAAACTGAGGAACGAAAATAAATTACAGTATGTCACAAAGTAAGCCATCTTACTTTCTAGTACTTTAATTAAAGGCTACAAGGCCACATTTAATCCTTTTTTCTTCCCATCATTTTAATTCTAAACCCACCTTTTACTGTTGTCTTAAAAGGAGTAGAGGGGAGGGAACGTCTAAACTTTAAGATCATTCTCCCAACTTTGTATTGTCACCAAAAAAAAAAAATTATAAGTTTTTAAGTGCTAGTTTTGAAATTATGATATACACAAGAACTGGAAAGCGTAAACAGTAATCCAACCTCCTAAAACCTAGACACTTGTAAACAGCAGGACAGGTCAGGAATCCTAAGTCCAGCTTTTACTTTGGATATCTGACAGGCTCAGTGGAATACTGGAGATTTGTGTCTATAAAACAAGACTTTACGGGTCTCTGAAGGAAAGGTGCTCTAAGAGGCCCAGAACAATTACTTCCACAATTGCAAACATGAAATCCAACGCTCTCCACGGTCTCTCCCCGCATTGCACCATGCGACTGCTGGTATACCAATGAGGACTGTGCAAGGTCGCCCAACAGTTTCCTTTCGCTTAAAATGCGGTACCACGAGGATGCCCTTGAAGGAGGCCTCCGTAAACACTGAGGGGACCGGATGTGCCCGAGCATTTTCCAAATTTTGGGCTCTCCAGAATCTAGGGCCTGAACCAAAGAATTCTATCGGACACAGAGTTCCTTCTGGTATTTTATTCTTCACGCACACATTGTCGACCCCCTACTCTCAAGTCCTGGGCCTCCCTCCCACTCTCACCGCCGGGTGGGCGTCCCTAGGATCCAGGGAGGCGGGTAAGAGAGATTAGAGTGTTGGGGTAAGGCTGCAGTCGCGAGGCTGTCCGGCAACGGCCGGGGTCCCGCA